CGGTGCCCGACAGATACAGATTGCGCGCAATAATCGTCAAAAAATAAACAAAAAGCAGGAGACAAGAAACGAAATAATAAGTGAAGTTTTATATTGCAGTACTAACGGTTTCTCGCAATTGACAAGCAGGTATAATATATAAGCTTTAAGGAAATAGTACAAAATGCAAGCTTCCACGACTCGCACAACGCGAAAGTAAAGTTTCGTTGTTGGCAGTGCGTCGTAAGAGGGAACGACGGGCGAACACATATCGCTGGGAGATATCTTTTTTAGGAATAAGTATTGCGCGGAAAATATAGCTCGTGTTGCAAGTATTCGTAAATTGAAAGATACGTGACGAAGTCACGGCAGTACATGACAAAATATCTAGCTAAGAAGCACAAGTTCATCAGTTTTAGCGTGCCTCGGATTCAGTGATTTAATCCGTCCGGAACACTCCGCCTCTCTACAAATAACGAGGTGTTGTACCACGTGATTCTCAGTGTCGGACAGCATCTAGATTGGAGACACGAACAAGCGCCGTTTTTGTGGAGATGCTTACTGTAGTACAGAGAGAGTGCAGCACAAGAATATCATCTCACAGGTAGACATCGATTAGCTTTTTTAACGTCTTCAAAAGAAAAGATGTCAGGCTGCTCAAACTATATTTTTTTGTAAAAATATAAATATGAAATAAAAAATATATTGTTATTATACATTTTATATTAAAAATATTACAAAAAATAATTTATAGTAATATTCTATTTGTCTTAAAAAAACAAAAAAAAAAAAAAAAATACTTTTTCTATTTTTTATTGATTCTAAACAATCTTTAGTATAAAATCTGTAAAAATTGTTACGCGTACAAAACAAATGAGATATAGACTTACACAGCGAAATTGTTTTAGAGACAAATTCGCCATATTTCCAATTGTAATAGTTAATTGATTTTGTGATCTCATTATTAAGAGCAATATACATAGTTGGACCGTTTTTGGGATCTGATTCGTACCAAAGAGAATCGTATGCAGCATCGGCAGCATCTCCAATAATCTTGCTCTATAATAAATAATGGATCTTGTATATCTCTTAGAAACAATTATGTAATGTAATACTTATTGTATATATATATACGATCGTATAGCCTAACATCGACTTAAAAGGAGACTATATGTTGAAAAATTTGACCGATTTTGACCAAAAAAATATTTGTTTGAGGCTCTAAACTTTTCAGACTACCCACGTACAATATTCATCTCAATATCTAACCTTAGCGCTCAAGTATTCTCCAGCAAAACAGAACAAATATTAATTCTTCTTTTTTTTCAGGACATGACCATCAGAAATACGTAAGACGCCGACACGGAAAAAGGATAAAAATATACTTCTGAAAATATATTAACGTACGCCCAGCTAAAAGATGACATCTATTGGATTAACTTTACTCTCCATAATTACTGCTTAATTAAGAATTATAGAAAAATGGTTTAGAACTCAATTTCTCTAAGGAATAGCGCTACGTAATTAGTGTAATCAGTGATCGAGCGCTCTTTAAGAAACACCCTGTATATATAAAAACCAATTGTCATTAATCTTTACGTAACTGCAGTTGTTGAATCGGTTATGCAAATCTAGATAATATGCTCGATTGTTGAGATTAAAATTTACAGAGTAGGTATTAATTAAATGCCACTCGTTAAATGCCAAGATGTGAAACCTTATATTTAGACGACTTTAAAATGGATTATGAAATCGAGTTGTTAATTTTCATAATTGCGAGAAAGAAGCTTCTCTAATCAATGATTTATAAAGTATCAAACATCAGCAGGTTTTATTCACTTTTATTGATCGCGGAATATTTCACTGAAAACTGAAACGCGAAAGCGCGTGGACAAGCATTTGAGAGAAAACGAATAATTATTAAACATATCCTCTTGGTACCGAACATAAGATACTCGATTACAATAACTATAGATATACAATTATCCGTCTTTCGGAAAGAGACGTTAAGCCGTTGTTGGTCCAAAGGGTTGAGAGGAGAAGGATAGTATTGGTGGTAAATTGCGAACCTTACAGGGATATGCAATAAATTACGAATTTTACAGGAATTTACTATAGATATACAATTACGAAATTATGAATAATAACAGAAGTTTACGAATTCGTTCCCTCCCTCATTCGTTCTCACTCCCTTTCTCGTCAAGGTAATGCGATAGCGGCCAATTATAATTATGAGACTTGAAAGTAATGCGAGAAGCCGTGCAGGCAGCAAGAGTATAATGTTCGTATGGACATCTTACAGAAAAATTAAGAAAAAAAAGAAAAAAATTATCGGGATTTGTAAAGTGGAGCGAACAATGCTAGCAGGGGGGAAAACAGCACGGGGTTACATTTACCGACTTTATTTAATAAAAATTGCGTATCTCGAGTCATCGATCTACCGCCTGGAAAAAAACCCCGAGTTTTATTCTTACTCCAATTGAAACGCACGCACGCAATGCGAATATACACGCACATGAAAGAGAATGGTAAGTAATACTGCAATGGTCCTTGTCGTTTTAATTCATATGCACATTTCTTAGAAACTAAACAATAACAAGCTGTTAATGTTTATTAAAAATTCAATGTAAATGAAATGTAGTTTTGGTTCAATACATTGCAAGCAGGACTGATATATAGGAGGCCGAAGCCTTTACAATCTGCAAAAGTAATACTTGATTATTATTATTAGAATATTTATGTAAAAATTATAAATATTTAAATTTAATGTGAAAAGTTATTTACTTATTATTCGACTCGTTTCTATAATACATAGCAATGTGCAGTAAATATTATTTGCTAGTTGAACCAAATAGCAAAATATATAAAAATATATATTTGAATATGAAAATATATGGTATATATGACAAAAGTTAATTGATAGTAACATTCTATTTATATTTTAAAAAAGAAATAACACATTTTCTATTTTTTTAAATTAATTCTAGACAATTATATTATCGATGAGACAAATCTTCGGCATAAAATCTGTAAAATGTTTTACACGTACACAACAAATCTGAAATGGACTTACACTACTAAATTGTTCTAGAGACAAATTCATTATCTTTCCAATTGTAATAGTTAATTGACTTTGCGACCTCATTATTAAGAACAATGTAATACGACTGTCTCTGGAATTTGATTCGTACCATAGGGAATCGTACGCAGCATCTCCAATGCTTTTGCTCTATTAAATAATGGATTTTGTAGCTTTAATAAGTAATTACGTAATATTTATTTATCGTGTACAATATTTGTCACAACTTCTAACCTTGGCGCTCAAGTATTCTCCAGCGAAACAGAATATGAACGCCTCCATATTCGTAACAAAGTAAAATGAGAGAGTCTTTAGTATACTTTGTAAAGCATCGGGTCGACCAATCGACTATAATTTTAAGAAAGAGCAAAGGAAATGTAATAAAAAAATGAATAATTAAAGACAGGAATTTTTCCTATTTTGCAGATTAACAGCGCGGTTCCCGTAGTATATATTTTTTTTAATCGTAGAATTAATCAAAATCGCTTACCGTGACCATCGTAAAACCCAAGCAGCAGATAATCAAGGTATCCGATACGAAAAGCACCATTGAGATATACGAGTACAGATCTTCAATATGTTCTGAAAAAGTGATAATATTCTGGTGTTTCTTGATTACTCTTTTTACCATAGAACGATTTGTACTGCACTTATTTTTTTTCGGAAAAAGTTCCAACACATTTTTACGAAGAATATCGATTTGACCGCTTATATGCAATATCTGAAATATACGTTTCTTTCAACAGCTGTACTAATAAAGGTCGCAAAAAAAATATTATATGGCTTGTGACATTAAATTTTATGTTGCACAGATACTTTCAAAATCTGAAAAGCGCAATTGCTAATAAACTATTTTAGATAAAATAAAAAATTTGCACATGTAAATTCCGTTAATCAATTAACATTATGGTTAATAAAATATTAAAGAAATAATATTTACAAATAATTGATAATACTCATAATAACAATAATAATAATATCTTTTTGCGTAACAGGTAACAGGACTCACCAAATTTATAAGTAAAGCATTTATTAATCCCATTCCGTTAGCACATATCAGCAAGTGAAGATATTGAACAATTATGACCGATTCATATACGAATCTTCGATTAATGTCGAATGGCAAATCCATGTCTATAATGAGTGATTGTGTGGAAACGTTGGAAGTTATGACATCATTCATATTTTTTATGAAGATATTGCTGCTAAAAAGAGTAATATTTGTCAAATAGAGAATCACCGTTATGTTACTGAAGCGCTGCGACAGTTTGGCATTGCACTTCGTTGTTAACATACTAAATTTTGAGTTGGTACATTTTTTCCAGTCGATCGCCATCATCGTTAATATTGTGTTGAACGTTCTAGGAAAGATTTTCATTGATCATAATTTTAATAACGGCCCTCAACAAAGCCTTATACGAACCATCGATGAAAAATTAATTGTTGTGCAATCATTTTATCCATGCAATTCTGCTTAAATCTTCTTCGCGTACAATAATTTATTTATTTCAGCAATTCGTATTTAATTTACATTATTATTATGTTTACATTTTTAATTGCCAAATAAATTATTTTATCCAACCATCCATTTTATCCATTATTATATTAACCAAAGCAGTTGCGAAAGATGTATCTTAACGACTAAAGTAATAAATCAAGATGAAATATTGTTTATATGTAACTAATTTGTTGAATGTTGTTGAATAATACTGTTAAATATAATTAAGTTAAATAATACATAAAGCTAATTTTTCATTGACAGTGCGTATCACAACCTGCCGTTATCTCACCGTTGCTTATACCAAAAAATGAGAAGTCTAGTTAAAAGTATCGAATATGCCATGGCGTCACCCAAAATTTTCATCCTTTCGGAAAACTCAATGAAATAAAAATGCATTACAATATATCGGTATTGAAAGACTTGCTCGATTACGAGCGTGACAATCCAGAAGAGTCTACGTAATAAAGCGCACGATGTATTCGGCCAGATGCCAAAAATACGTAGACAAATTTCTATCGCTTTGCTAACTGTATTGTCTAATTTCATACTTGTGTTACTATTATTATTATCCTATTATTTTGCACTGTTAACATGCGTTGTATCCGATAAGAAAATTTGAAACGTTATTACGAAGAAACCTGATCCATCGTACAATGTGCACTATGTGGTATCTTTGCACATACTGAAAGAGAACAAGAGAGTGGGGCTCACCCCTCCAGGACACCCAGCCACAGCTTATTATATATTTTCATCGGAACCTGCACAGATTGCGTGTACTATTGTCGGTGAAAAAATAAAAGTTTCCGGGTGGCCGATCTTTTCCCTCTTGAATTATTCTGGGGGGAAAATAGTGGTGTAGCGCGCAATGCATTATTTTCTTTAAAAATTCAAACAACTGCGTACGAAACACGCGAATGTGCATAGGGCGTTGAACTGTTTTCGGTGACCGTAAGAAAAGTTTTGTATTTCTACGTACAGGGGAGAAGTCTTTGAGGAAAAGCGAAGATAGATATAAGGTGAAATTTTCTCTTTCTGAGATTTTATTTCCTCAATAATAAAAGATATTTTTTCTCAAGCATTACAGGAAGTGTGGCGAGTGTGCACGCATTCACAACTTATTCTCTCGTAATATGTAAATCGCGCGATTTTGAATAAAACTTTGGTGCCCGTCAGATACAGATTGCGCGCAATAATCGTAAAAAAATAAGCCAGAAGCAGGAGACGGAGAAACAAAATGATAAGTGAAGTTTTATATTGCAGTACTAACGGTTTCTCGCAATTGACAAATAGGTATAATATAAGCTTTAAGAAAACAAAACAAAATGCAAGCTTTTTCGACTCGCACGACGCGAAAGTGAAGTTTCGTTGTTGGCATGGCAGTGCGTCGCAAGAGGGAACGACGGGCGAACACATATCGCTGGAAGATCGTGTTGCAAGTTTTCATAAATTGAAAGAAACGTGACGAAGTCACGGCAGTACGTGACAAAATATCTAGCTAAGAAGCACAAGTTCATCAGTTTTAGCGTGCCTCGGATTCAGTGATTTAATATGTCCGGAACATTCCGCCTCTCTACAAGTAACTTCGTGCGAGGTGTTGTAAAAGGAGTATATGACACGAACAAGGGAAGCGCCGTTTCTGTGGAGATGCTTACTATAGTACAGAGAGTGCAGCACAAGAATAACATCTCACAGGTAGACATCGATTAGCTTCTTTAACGTCTTCAAAAGAAGAGCTGTCAGGCTGCTCAAACTATTTTTTTTAAGTGTAGCGTGTTTTAAATAAATATTCCAGAATTTCGCCATAGGTATCGCTTCCAGTTTGGCATGGAAGAGATAATTTACGACAGTAGTTTTCCTGCCCGCAAACAAGATTACGCTTGGAGGGCCGGTTATAGCCAACACTACCACCAGGAACCTACTCGGGATAGTCAGAAATCCGAAAACCTCCTGAACGTTTTCTGATCCGCCACATAAAAACACGCCAGATAAGTAACTCATCCTACAGAGACTGAAACGCACGAACGCATGCAAATGTGCACGCACATGAAGGAGAATAGTAAGTAATAAAGAAATGGTTTTATTTTAATTTATATGCAAATTTTCTTGTAACTACACAATAACTAGCTACTAATGCTAGTGCTCATTAAAAATTTGATGTAAATAGAATGTAGTTTTGCTTCATTACATTGCAAGTAGTACCGATATATAGGAAGCCGAAGCTTTTAGAATCTGCAATAGTATTACTGCATTATTATAAGAATAATGTAGAATGTTTTAAATTTAATGTAAAAAGTTATTTATTTGTCGATTGATTCATTTTAATAACACACATAACAACGTGAATAATATTGCAGAAAATATTATTTACTATTTAAAACAAATATATAAAAATATAAATAAAAAATAAAAAATATATTATTATTATAAATTTTATATTAAAAATGTTACAAAAAATAATTTATAGTAATATTCTATTTATCTTAAAAAGAAATAACACATTTTTTATTTTTTTTTATTCTAGACAATCTTTATAGAATCTGTAAAAATTTTGCACGTACAGAACAAACTTGAAACAGACTTACACTGCTAAATTGTTCAAGAGACAAATTCGCTATATTTCCAATTGTAATGGTTAATTGATTTTGCGACCTCATTATTAAGAGCAATACATTTCGACCGTCTCTGAAATCTGACTCGTACCAAAGAGAATCGTATGCAGCATCTCCAATGCTCTTGCTCTATTAAATAATGGATCTTGTATCTCTTAGAAAAAATGACGTAGTATATTTTGTAATATTTATCATATGCAATATTCGTCTCAATATCTAACCTTGGCGCTCAAGTATTCTCCAGCAAAACAGAATATAAATACCTCTATATTCACAGCGAGGTAAAACAAGAAATTCCTGATTATACTTTCTGAAGCATCGGGTTGCCCAATCGACTAGAATTTTAAGAAAGAGTCAAGAAAATGTAATAAAACGATGAATTAATTAAAGTCACCAATTAATACTCTTCTATTCTGCAGAATTAATTAACAGCGCTGTTCATATAGTATATATTTCTCTTAACCGTAGAATTAATCAAAATAGCTTACCGTGACCATTGTAAAACCCAAGCAGCAGATAAGCAAAGTATCCGATACGAAAAGCACCATTGAGATATACGAGTACAGATCTTCAATATGTTCTGAAAAAGTGATAATATTCTGATGTTTCGTGATTACTTTTTTTACCATAGAACAATTCGTACTGCACTTATTTTCTTTCGGGAAAAGTTCCAACACACTTTTACGAAGAATATCGATTTGACCACTTATATGCAATATCTGAAATATACATTTCTTTCAACAGCTGTATACTAATAATGGTCGCAAGAAAAAAATATTATATGGCTGATGACATTAAATTTATGCTGCACAGAATCTTTCAAAATTTGAAAATCGCAATTGCTAATAAACTATTTTTGATAAAATAAGAAATTTGTACATGTACATTTTGTTAATCAATTAACATTATGGTTAATAAAATATTAAAAAAGTAATATTTATAAATAATTGATAATACTCATAATAATAATAATATTTTTTTGCGTAACAGGTAACAGGACTCACCAAATTTATAAGTAAAGCATTTATTAAACCCATTGAGTTAGCACATATCAGCATGTGAAAAAATTGAACAATTATGACAAATTCATATACGAATCTTCGATTAACGTCGAATGGCAAATCCATGTCAACAATGAGTGGTCGTGTTGTGGAAACGTTGGAAGTTATGCCATCATCTGTGTTTTGTAAGAAGACATTGCTGCCAAAAAAAGTTACCATTGTGCAATAAAGAATCACCGTCATCTTAGTGAAGCGCTGCGACAGTTTGGCATTGCACTTCGTTGTTAGCATGCTAAATTTCGTGTCGGAACATTTTTCCCAGTCAACCGCTATCATCGTTAGTATCTTGTTGAACGTTCTAGGAAAGATTTTTATTGGTTATAATCTTATAATCTTAATAGCGGCCGCAACAAAGCTCTATACGAACCATCGATGAAAAATTAATTGTTGCGCAATCACTTTACCTATGCAATTCTGGTTAAGAGAGTAGATCACTTTGATAAACGAAAAAATAGACCCTTTTTTAAAATTAGATATTTAAGAAACAAAAAATTATGAGTATTAGAAACTTTGGCACATAATTCTATATTTTTTTATGATTATTTAAGAAAAAATCATTAAAAAATATTAATAACAAGTTATTAGTAATAAATGGAAGTAGTTTTTTCCATTCAGTAGCTTATTTTTTATGAAGTTATTGCTGCTAAAAAGAGTTACATTTGTTAAATAGAGAATCACCGTTATGTTAGTGAAGCGCTGCGACAATTTAGCATTGCACTTCGTTGTTAACATACTAAATTTTGAGTTGGTACATTTTTTTCATACAATCGCCATCATCGTTAATATTTTGTTGAACGTTCCAGGAAAAATTTTTATTGTTCATAATTTTAATAACGGCCGCAACAAAGCCTTATACGAACCATCGATGAAAAATTAATTGTTGTGCAATCACTATAGCAATTCGTATTTAATTAACATTATTATTATGTTTACATTCGTAATTGCCAAATAAATTATTTTATCAACCAAAGTAGTTGCGAAAGGTGTATTTTAACGACTAAAGTAATAAATCAAGATAAAATACTAAATATATGTAACTAATTTGTTGAATGTTGTTGAATAATATTGTTAAATATAATTGAGTTAAATAATACATAAAGCTAATTTTTCATTGACAGTGCGTATCACAACTCACAACGTGCCGTTATCTCACCGTTGCTTATACCAAAAAATGAGAAGTCTAGTTAAAAGTATCGAATATGCCATGGCTGCACCCAAAATTTTCATCCTGTCGGAAAACTCAATCAAATAAAAATGCATTACAATATATCGATATTGAAAGACTTGCTCGAATATGAGCGTGACAATCCAGAAGAGTCTACGTAATAAAGCGCACGATGTATTCGGCCAGATGCCAAAAATTCGTAGACAAATTTCTATCGCTTTGCTAACTGCATTGTCTACTTTCATACTTGTGTTAATATTATTATTATCCTATTATTTTGCACCGTTAACATGCGTTGTATCCGATAAGAAAATTTGAAACGTTGTTACGAAGAAATCTGATCCATCGTACGATGTGCTCTATGTGGTATCTTTGCACATACTGAAAGAGAACAAGAGAGTGGGGCTCTCCCCTCCAGGACACCCAACCACAGCTTATTAAATATTTTGCCCGCAACCTGCACAGATTGCGTGTACTATTGTCGGTGAAAAAATAAAAGTTTCCGGGTGACCGATCGTCTCCCTCTCGAATTCTGGGGGAAAGCAGTGGTGTAGCGCGCAGTGCATTATTTTCTTTAAAAATTCAAACAACGGCGAACGAAACACGCGAGTGTGCATAGGGCGTTGAACTGTTTTCGGTGACCGTAAGAAAAGTTTTGTATTTCTACGTATAGGGGAGAAGTCTTCGAGGAAGAGGGAAAATATGGATAAGGTGAAATTTTCTCTTTTTGAGATTTTATTTCCTCAATATTAAAAGATATTCGTTCTCAAGCATTACAGGAAGTGTAGCGAGTGTGCTCGCGTTCACAACTTATTTTCTCGTAATATGTAAATTGCGCGATTTTGAATAGAACTCCGGTTCGTCAGATACAGATTGCGCGCAATAATCGTCAAAAAATAAGCCAGAAGCAGGAGACAAAGAAATAAAATGATAAGTAAAATTTTATATTGCAGATACTAACGGTTTCTTGCAATTGACAAGTAGGTATAACATAAGTTTTAAGGAAACAGTACAAAATGCAAGCTTCCATAACTTGCACGACGCGAAAGTGAAGTTTCGTTGTTGGCAGTGCGTCGCAAGAGGGAAGGACGGGCGAACATATATCGCTGGGAGATATCTTCCTTAGGAGTATTGCGCGGAAAATAGCTTATGTTGCAAGTACTCGCAAATTGAAAGAAACGTGCCGAAGACGATAGTATAAGCCAAAATATCTAGCAAAGAAGCACAAGTTTATCAGTTTTAGGATGCTTCGGATCCAGTGAATTAATCTGTCCGGAACATCCCGCATCTCTACAAACAACTTTGTGCGAGGTGTTGTTAAAGGAGTACATATCAAAGAACATTCTCACCACGTAATCTTCAGTCTCCAGCGGCACCTACATTAGGGACACGAACAATTGGAGCGCCGTTTCTGTGGAGATGCTCATCATATACGAATGTGGATTCTCGTGCAGAGAATGCAACACTGCAACACAGAAATAACAACTCGCAGGTACACATCGATGAGCTTCTTTAACGTCTTTAAAAGAAGAGCTGTCAGGCTGCTCAAACTATAATTTTTTGTAAAGGTGTAGCGTATTTTAAGTATCGCTCTCAGCTTGGCATGGAAAATTTGATCCACAGCTTTCCTGGCGCGAGAAAGGATTTTACGCCAGCAGGGCCGGTAATAGCCATCACTACCCAGGAGCCTACTCGAATAGTCAGACACTTATAGATCTCCTGGACATATTCCGATCTGTCACAACGAGATGTGCCCGATAAGTAACTCAGTCAACAGAGACTGAAACGCACATACGCATGCAAATATGCACGCACATAAAAGAGAATGGCAAATAATACAGCAATGGTTTTACTTTAATTAATAAACATTTTTTTACAATTAAACAATAACCAATTATTAACTTTTATTACAACTTTAAATAAAGCGTAATTTTGTTTCTCTACATCGCAAACAAAACCGATATGTAGGAGGCCGAAGCCTTTATAATCTGAAACAGAGTATTATTTGATTATTAGAAGAATATTTATGTATAAAATATTTTAAATATAAAAATTTACTGTCAACAGTTATTAGTTTGTCATTTGACTCGTTACAATAATATATAACAATGAAAATATTGCAGCAAATACTGTTTGCTATTTAAAACAAATATATATAAAAATATAAATATTTATTAAAAAATAAATGATATATTACTTATTTATTAATAAATAAATTAATAGTAATATTTTATATTATTATTATTAATAGAAATTAATTAATAGTAATATTTTAATAATATTTTAAAAAAGAATAACACATTTTCTATTTTTCATGATTCTAGATTATTATTGGCAAAACAATTTTCAATATAATATTAGTAAAATGTTTAACGTATAAAACAAATCTGACAATGAGATAAGACTTACACTTCCAAATCGATCTAGAGACAAATTCATTATTTTTCCAATTGTAATGGTTAATTGATTTTGTGACCTCATTATTAAGAACAATATAATTCGACTGTCTTTGGAATCTGATTCGTACCACAAAGAATCATACGCAGCATCCCCAATGCTTTTGCTCTATTAAATAGTAGATTTTGTAGCTTTTAGAAGCAATTACGTAATATTCTACTTATTTATCAATATTAGTCTTTATGTTTAACCTTCGCACTTAAATATTCCCCAGCGAAACAAAATATGAACGCTTCTGAATTCATAAGAAAGTAAAATAAGAGAGTTTTAATTATATTGTTGAGAGCATCGGGGCGACCAATCGCCTAGAATTTTAAGATATATTATAATACCAAAGAAAATGAAATAAAAGGATGAATAATTAAAGTCACGAATTAATATACTCTTCTGTTCTACAGATACAACAGCGCGGTTCCAATAGTACATATTTCTTTTAACCGCAGATTTAATCAAAATCGCTTACCGCGACAATTGTAAAACCCAAGCAGCAGATAATCAAAGTATCCGTCACAAACAACACCATCGCGATATACGAGTACAGATCCTCGATATGCTCTGAAAAGATGATAATTTCCTGGTGTTTTTTTATTATTTTTTGAACCACGAAACGACTCAATCTGCCATTTCCTTCTTTTGGAAAAATATCCATTACACTTTTACGAAGAATATCGATTTGACCACTTATGTGCAATATCTAAAATAAACACTTTTCTCAACTGCTGTACTTAATTCGCGAAAAAACAATTTAACTGCCTAGATTATGCTGCACAATTTTTTGTAAACCCAAAAAGCAGTACAACTGCTAGTATATTATATTTTATTATGTAGACAATATGCTGGTGTAAATTTTGTCTATCAATTGATATTATGGTTAATAAAATGTTAATAGGTATAAGTAAAATAATAGATAATACTCATGCATAATAATAAAGATAATAATATCTCTGCATAATAGAACTCACCAGATTTATGAGTAGAGCATTTAATAAGCCGATTGCTTCGGAGCATAACACCAAATGAAGAAATTGTACAATTATGATCGATTCGTATATGAATCTTCGATTAGCGTCAAATGGTAAATCCATATCTAGAATGAGTAATCGTGTGGAAACGTTTGAGGCTGTGTCACCATTGTCATGTTTTACGAGGATTTTGCTGCTAAAAAAAATTACAGCAGTCAAATAGAGAATCACCGTCATGTTAACGAAGCGCTGCGACAGTTTGGCATTGCACCTCGTTATTAACATGCTGAATTTCGTGTCGGAACACTTTTCCCAGTTGTTCGCCATCATCGTTAATATCCTGTTGAACGTTCTAAGAAAAAATTTATTGATCATAATCGTGATAACGACCGCAACGAAGCGTAATACCAACCATCGGTGAAAAATTTATTATCACAATGACTTTACCCATGCGAGTCCGCTTATTTTCTTTTTGTGTAAAATAATCAATTTATTACAAGCTACTTGTCTTTCATTCAACTTTATTACGTTGTTCACGTTTACAATTGTAAAATAATTTATTTTTTGACTAAAATAATTGTTAAATTGAAATGTAATACTAAAATGTAACTTAATATAATTGAATAATGTAATTAAATATGTATACAATTAAATTAAATAATATTTAAAGCAAATTTTTCATCGATAGTGCGTATCACTACATCACGTTGCGTATCTCACCGCTGCTTATACCAAAAAATTAAAAGTTTAAATAAAAATATTGTATACGCCATTGTTGAACCTATAATTCTCATCATCTCGATAAATTCAATCAAATGAAAATGCACTACAATATATCGATATTGAAAGACTTGCTCGGTTACGAGCATGACGGTCCAGAATAGTCTACGTAATAAAACGCACGATGTATTTGGCCAGATCCCAAAAATTCGTAGAGAAATTTCTATCGCTTGGCTAACTGTATTCTCTATTTTCATATTTCTGTTATTATTATTTTCCTATTATTTTGCACCGATAACGTGTATTCCAATAAAAAAAATTTTTAGCGGCGTTATGACAATAGCACTTGATAGATTATACGATATGCACAATGTGGTGTCTCTGTACAAACTGAACGCTTCAGAGGAAGCAAGAGTGGGGTTTTTACCCCTCCAGAAACCACAGCTTATTAAATATTTTGATCGCAACCTGCACAGATTGCGTGTACAATTGTCGATGAAAGAAAAAGAAGTTTCCGGGTGGCCGATCTTCTCTCTTCTGGGAATTTACTGGCAAAACAGTGGTGTAGTGCTCAGTGCATTATTTTCTTTAAAAATTCAAGCAACAGCAGACAACAGCACGCGAATGTACATACATAGGACATTAAACTATTCTCGGTGACCGTAAGAAAAGTTTTTTACTTCCATGCGTAGGGGAAAATTTTAGAGAGAAAATAGGAAAGATATGGAAAAGGCGAAAGTTTCTCTTTCCGAGATTTTATTTCCCTATCAAAAGATATACCTTCTCGTGCATTATACTAAGCGCGGTGAGTGTGCACGCGTTCGCATTTATTCTTTTGAAATATATTGGTCGCTGTGCACAATAATCGTCAAATAGTCAGAAGCTAGAAGCAAAAGACGTAGGGAGACGCAGTGCTGAGTGAAGTTTTATGTTTCAGTATCAACGACGTTCTTCACAAACGGCAAGCATAATATAACTTTTAAAAAGACATCACAAGGTACAAAAAGCATATATTAATCTTTCTAAAAAACTATTTCATAAACATTATGATATTATTTGAACGAAAATGTAAAGGAATATCTGATTGTGCAAGAAGAGCATTTGTTATGCAATATACTTATCGCATGTTTTATTTTACACATGGAAAAAAAATTAAATTAATTATTAGCAAGAAATGCAGTATTTATGTTGCAATCTGCCCATAGATCACCTGGAGAACTTCCGAGCCGCCACATGGAGACGCACCCGATAAGTAGCTCAGCCCACAGAATTGAAACACTTTACACGCATGCAAATATGCATGTACATAATAGAGAATGGTAGGTAATATAGCAACGGTTTTACTTTAATTCATACGCAAATTTTTTTGCGATAATATAATAACAATAACAATAGCGGTAACGCTACAGTAAACTCTGTA